AAACTTCAAAAGAGTTGTGGCTCCACTTCAACTTATTTTGTACTACTTGCACGATTCAAGGTAAGGTTTATAAGCTACTCATTGATTTAGGTATCTTCTCTAACGTGATCACACAAGAGGCCGTGTGTAAACTAGGCATAAAGACATCTCCTCACCCGTCACCTTACAAGCTTTCTTGGCTGAACACCAACACTGATCTCTTTGTGTCCAAGAAATCTTCGGTTCCCTTCTCAATTGGATCGTGTAAAGATGAAGTTTTATGTGATGTGGCTCCGATGGGTGCCTGCCCTTTACTCTTGGGCAGACCTTGGCAATATGACAAAGATACAACTCATCATGGCCGCAATAACACTCACAGTTTTACATATGGCGATCGAACTATCACCTTATTACCCTCAAATGAACCAGGCGAGATAAATGACCCAGCTCTCCACACCGATCAAATACAACAGTCACTTATCACATTACCAAAAGCCGCTTTTGAGGCAGAACTAGTTTCGTCACCTACCATCTGGGCTCTAGTAACGGTTCCATGTCTTACTACGTCAACACACTCAATTCCCGCACCGTTCTCGACCCTTCTGGCGGAATTTCAAGACATTTTTCCAGACGAGTTACCACAAGAGTTACCGCCGTTACGTGATATTCAACACCACACTGACTTAGTGCCTAACTCGGTTTTACCTAACAGTCCACATTACCGTATGAGTCCTCAGAAGCATGATGAACTCAGACGACAAGTGGAGGATTTTCTTGCTAAAGGTCTTATACGAGAGAGCCTCAACCGCCGTGGCTGCTTTCCTCATACCAAAAAAGGATGGGTCATGGCGAATGTGTGTCGACAGCCGAGCAATCAATAAGATTACAGTAAGGTAGCGTTATCCTATAACATGTCTTGATGAAGCTTGATCAAATAGGACATGCAGCAATATTTACTAAACTGGACTTGAAAAGTGGCTACCATCAAATAGTATTCGAGATTAATGGAAAACAACTTTAAAAAGGGCGAGGGTCTATTTGAGTGGATGGTCATGCTGTTTGGGTTGTCCAATGCTCCAAGTACATTAATGCGGGTCATGAATCAAGCTTTGCAACCATTCATTAGCAAATTCATGGTTGTATATTTTGATGACATCCTCGTGTTTAGTTCGTCATTACAGACACATATAGACCATCTCCGAGAAGTATTGAAAGTTCTGTGTCGTGAGAAGCTTTATGCGGCCAAGCAGAAGTGCGTTTTTGGGATGGACGAGGTTCTTTTTCTTGGATACATTGTGTCTATGCGAGGTCTGGAAGTGGATCCTAGCAAGGTCGAATCAATTCGTTCTTGGCCGACACCAACAACCATCAGTGCCGTTCGAAGTTTCCATGGCCTTGCCTCATTCTATCACCGGTTTGTTCAGCACTTCAGCTCCATTACAGCCCAATTAACAGATTGTTATGCGTGGTACATCTTTTGTTTGGACCCAAGCCGCAGATGACGCGTTCAACACTATTAAAGAGAAGCTTACGTCGGCTCCTATATTAGTGCTATCTGACTCTGATCGTGTCTTCGAGTTACATTCAGACGCTTGTAAGTTGGGCATTGAAGCGGTACTAAGCCAGGAAGGTAGACCAGTTGCTTTCTTCTGTGAGAAAATTGCAGGTTCTCGAGCACGTTACAGCACTTACGATGTCGAATTCTATGCAATTGTACAAAAAATCAAGCATTTGAGACACTATCTTTTTCATCAAGAATTTATTCTTTACACTGACCATGATGCTATAAAACACTTGGGCAGTCAAGATAAAATATAAGCTCAACATGCTTCTTGGATCGCCATTCTCCAACAATTCACTTTCGTTATCAAGCATCAATATGGACACACCAACAAGGTTGCCGATGCTCTTAGGACGCGCCACTCGCTCGTATCCACTTTTCATGCTATTGTTCCTGGTTTTGCAGTGCTTGTGGAGCTTCATCAAGATACTTTTTTGGCCCTATTTGGAAAGAATTGCAAGAAGACCTGCGTTCTGAGTACTCATTGGTTGATGGATTTCTGTTTCGTGATAATAGACTTTGTGTTCCTGAGTGCAATTTACGGCTTCAACTTATCAAGGAATTACATACCGAAGGGCATGTGGGTCGAGATCGGCCTATACAGTTAGTCGCTTCATCATATGTTTGCCCGAGTCTTATGCGTGACATGATTCATTTTGTTGAGCGTTGTGTCGTGTGCCATCGTTGATGGATTTCTGTTTCGTGATAATAGACTTTGTGTTCCTGAGTGCAGTTTACGGCTTCAACTTATCAAGGAATTACATACCGAAGGGCATGTGGGTCGAGATCGGCCTATACAGTTAGTCGCTTCATCATATTTTTTCCCGAGTCTTATGCGTGACATGATTCATTTTGTTGAGCGTTGTGTCGTGTGCCATTGTTGGAAAGGGCATGCTTCTAACAGCAGACTTTACATGCCATTGCCTATATCAACTCAACCTTGGACGGATATCAGCATGGATTTTGTTCTTGGTCTTCCATGTACGCAACGTGTAAGCGATTCTATTTTCGTTAGTGTGGATCGATTTTCTAAAATAGTGTACATTTTGTGGCTTGTAAGAAAACAACAGATGCGTTACAAGTCACTCATCTCTTCTTTCGTGAGATCTACCGGCTCCATGGTCTTTCGTTGTCCATTGTATCGGATCGCGACTCTTGTTTTCTTAGCCATTTTTGGCGTTCCTTATGGAAACTTTTGAAGACAAGCCTTGACATGAGCACGACGTATCATCCTCAATCCGATGGGTAAACGGAGGTAGCAAATCGAGCGCTTGGTAACATGCTTCGATGTCTTGTTGGTGATAATATCAGAACGTGGGATACAGTCTTGTGCTAGGCAGAATTTGCTCATAATCATGCGGTGAACCGTAGTACTGACTTTTGTCCTTTTCGGATTGTTTATGGGTTGATTACGCGTGGTCCTCTTGATCTCGGCGTCGCACCTGATTTATCAAGAGACAATGCTCATGCAGTTGATTTTGTGGGTTCTTTAACTTCCATTCACGGATAGGTTCATGACAACCTCCAAGTTTCTTCAGCCAAGTACAAAGAAGCAGCTGATAGGCATCATCACGACTTGCAGTTTCGCGTGGGAGATCGTGTATGGGCTGTGTTAACAAAAGAACGTTTTCCTGCTGGTACATATAACAAGCTCAAAGCTAGGAAGACCGGGCCTTTGGAGATTCTTGAGAAGGTGAATGCAAATGTGTACCGAATAGATTTACCATCCAACGTTCATTGTTCCGACGTATTCAACGTGAAGCACCTCTTTTCCTACATTGCGAGTGATGAAATTACAGATTCAGGGATGAATCGTTTTCTACCCTGAGTGACATGATGCATCGTGAATATCTTTTTTATTTCTTATTGGCTTTGGTTTTCCTTTTCTTTTGGTGTTATCCTTATTTTTATTCCAATTCAGTTATAATTCCTTTTCCTACAAGGAATAAAGTTTTTAGTTAGCTATATAAACAACGATCCTTTGATTTGTGAGGGCACATTTTATTCATTGATTATTAATATAAAGAGCTTTGGTGTTCTTGATCCTTGCATTCGGATAGAATATTGGTATTCACAACGATTACAAGAAAACTTTGATCCTAAGAATTTTCAGACTAAATAGGATTCATTGTGTTATCGTAGCGAGAGCTACATCAAGAACTGCCACATATGATAAGATTTTTTTTTTAATTAGTACAAAATTTATTTAGATTTTTTTTTTCAAAATGAAAAATGATTAGCGATGCTCTTATCAATATGCACTATTTTAAAGTTTGAAATTGAAAATGCACAACCTAACCATTGTGATAGTTAAGTGATTTCTGTTGGATGATGAGTTGTCTTGTTGGTTCAAAGTAGGAAGAGATTTCAGTGCAAAATTACTAACTCTTTATGTGGCTAGGTATGATATCTAACTCCCACGTAGAATAACCGAATTTACTTATCATTGGTGGAAAGGTTTCCAGAGATTAGTCAGTTGGATCTTGGGATAGTTAGACACCTTTAGTCAATTAAAAAAATGCAGCAGGCGTGATTGATGTTTTTTATCTATCTATCTTTATTTTTTATTTTTTTTGAAGAACAACTGATGTTTTATCTAGCTATATGTACAAAATGTGGACGTAATGTATGTTGAATTTTTGCGTTCCAAATCCGAGATTTGAGGGTTAAGCCAGGTCGACCACGTGGGAACGACAGCATTTTAGTTTCCGCGGAATAAAAGAAAAAAAAAACATAACGGTGGCCATGGCTAACAGAACGGCGGAGGAATATTTTCAATTAATTTTAAAACATAATATTAAAAAAAATATTGAGAAAACAATAAATTAAAAAGAAAGAGGAAGCGAGACAGAGAGACCTTCGTTTGCGCGTTTTCTGTAATCTCTCTCTCTCTTACCGCTACTGCGTCCATGGAATGTACAGAGCGTCGTGATCCGTGATTTTCGTCTGGAGGAAGAAGAAAAAGAAGAAGCATCATCGCCGTGCGTAGTCATCAGAAAGAAAAAAACAATATCTCTGTTATTGCATCTCCGTTCAATCCAGATCGTAACGCTCCATTGTGTATTTTTCTTCAAACCATGCGATCGTTTCGTTTCGTTATTGAGATAATCCATTGCTTCGGCTTTGATCTCGTATTTTATTTTCTTTACTGGATTCATCGGCTCGTTTTGATTTTCTTCCGATTTTTTTAATTCCTTTGAAGATCTAATCTTGATGCTTTCATCGGCTATATACGTTTTGTTTCTTCCTTCTGGCAATGCTGGATCGGGATGTTACTGTGATTTAAATGTCAGACCTTGATTAACTTGGAATCCAAGTATTAGATCCTTTTTCAATAATCTCTATTAACTACAAGTTAAGAGGTTGAATTGATTTTGTTTTTTTTTTTTTGTGTATGATGGTAGTAGAGAAGTAGAGGAAGGCTTTAGTCATATTTTTGTAAAGCTCGCTCAGGGAAACAATGTCAACTAAAGGAGAACATCATGCAGTTCCACTCTCGGTTTTGCTCAAGCGTGAAACAGCTAATGAAAAGATAGACAATCCTGAGCTTGTGCACGGCGAGTTTAACCAGAGCAAGAAAGGAGAGGACTTTACTTTTGTTAAATCAGAGTGCCAAAGGGTCACGGGAGATGGCGTTGCTACCTTCTCTGTTTTCGGGGTATATCTATTGATATCTCAATCTTTACTGCTTGCAGAGTTGCATTTAATATGATTGGATATCTCTGGTTAAATGTTGCAGCTTTTTGATGGACACAATGGTTCTGCTGCAGCTATCTACACCAAGGACAACCTTCTTAACAATGTATTAGCTGCAATACCCTCTGATCTCAACAGAGATGAGTGGGTTGCCGCACTTCCTAGGGCTTTGGTTGCTGGATTTGTCAAAACTGATAAAGATTTCCAGGAAAGAGGTATTCACTCTTTTCTAATTATATATGATTTTTTGGTGGATGATAAAAGTTTGACGTTTTCTTGTTTCCTCTCTTGCCAGCAAGAACCTCTGGAACGACCGTAACTTTTGTCATTGTAGAAGGATGGGTGGTCAGTGTTGCATCTGTTGGTGACTCTCGTTGCATACTTGAGCCTGCTGAGGGTGGTGTCTATCACTTATCTGCTGATCATCGGCTTGAAATAAACGAAGAAGAGTAAGTCACCTTTATTCCTTGTGTTGTGGACCCCAGCTATTGATGTAGTGGCATCGTCGTAATATATTTGGCTACAGGCGAGATCGCGTCACTGCAAGTGGTGGTGAAGTTGGTCGGTTAAATACTGGTGGTGGTACTGAGGTACCTTTTTAGATAACGCTTGGCACTTTCTCTTGTCCCTTGTCATCATAGGCTAGCTGTCAAATTAATTATGCTAGCTTTGTTGAATGTAAGAAGCTTCTTTGTGCTGTCAAAATCAAAGGATTCTAATAGCTAAATCTAACTTGCTTTAGATTGGTCCTCTGAGATGTTGGCCGGGTGGTCTCTGTCTCTCTAGATCCATTGGAGATCTGGATGTTGGCGAATACATTGTTCCAGTTCCTTATGTTAAGCAAGTCAAGGTTAAAAACTCTTTTTTAACTTTTATGACTCTTTTGAATGTATTCTGAAAGATGTATGTATCTATTTGATTTGGTTATGTAGTTGTCTTCAGCTGGTGGTCGACTTATCATCTCAAGTGATGGTGTGTGGGATGCAATTAGTGCAGAAGAGGCTCTTGATTGTTGCCGTGGTTTGCCACCAGAAGCTTCCGCCGAGCATATTGTTAAAGTAATAGTATCTGAGTTGCTTAAATATTTCTTCTTTTCTTTGCAGTGCCTTGATTGTTTTTGTATTGCTTCTTCACACAGGCAGCTGTGGGGAAGAAAGGTATTCGGGATGATACAACATGTATTGTGGTTGATATATTACCATCAGAAAAGCCAGCTGCTTCGGTGCCGCCTCCAAAAAAGCAAGGAAAAGGAATAATAAAGTCCATGTTCAAAAGAAAATCTTCGGGCTCATGTTCTAATATTGAGAAAGAGTATCTGGAACCTGATGAAGTTGAAGAACTGTTTGAAGAGGGCTCTGCTATGCTTTCAGAGAGGTGTGGTTCTCTGAATATTTGAGAAGCTTCATCTTGATTAATCTTTTTCATCATTTGTTGTTTGTTCTATTGCAGATTAGACACAAAGTACCCGCTTTGCAATATGTTTAAGTTGTTCATGTGTGCTGTGTGTCAAGTAGAAGTGAAACCTGGAGAAGGTGTCTCAATCCATGCTGGAACGGCTAATTGCCCAAAGCTTCGTCCTTGGGATGGTCCATTCCTTTGCGCTAGTTGTCAAGAGAAGAAAGATGCTATGGAAGGGAAGCGATCATCAGGAGGTACTCTCTTACTTTACATCTTCTCCTGATCATGTGTGTGGGGAAGCTAATAGTACTAACCTATTATCTTGCAGATAGACATAGTAGTGAGAGCGACTAGCCAGCTATTTATTTGGTCAAGCAACTAACAAAAACAGTATTGTGAGTAAAATAGAGCGGTTCGGAGGATCATCTGGTTGAAATATATATTCCACCCAGAGATATGAGTTCCTTGATCTACCCACCACCATTCTTCAGCAAAACTCCAAAGCAGTCTATTTATTTATTATCTTTGATATGGCTCTCACTCCACTCTTTTTTTTTTCTTTCATTCGTGATGCTTTTATGTTTAAAAGTGAGTACTAACAGCTGAGAGATGGTATAGGTAAAGAAGATATGCCAGTCTGTGTGCAACTATTTCATGTATAAAAACCATTGACAAAGTTCTTGATAGAAGCATCCATTTTTTCATGTAACTTACTATACCGATTTTTTCTACACTCATAGATTGCTTTTCGTGTTCATTGGTATACATAAACTATTCTTCTTATGTCGTCTGAAAATTCTGATTCATGTATCCACCAAACATGTGAACTTGTTTTAGGAACCAATAAAGTTTACATCTCGAACTCCAGTAGTAGGGTTAAATGGCCAGGATCGATAGTAAATCAATTACTGTCTACTTTAATCCATAGAAATCACAATAAACTTACATCTGAATTTTCTGCTGCTTTCCTTTGAATGTAAGAAAATGCTTGTGCATACTTAAGTCTTCATCTTATACATGTTCTTCGTATGGTTATGAAACAGTTGATATGGATGTTACAACATTGGTTAGTACATTAAGATCTTCTAAAAGTAAAAAGAAGAGAAAATTACTAGAATAGCACATAAAAAGCGGGTATATGACTAGAATAACATACATTTTCTAAAAATTACTAGAATATTTTCAGACTCCTAATAAATTACAATAAACACTCTTGTTTAATTTTGTTATTGTTGATACAAATTTTAATTATCAAATCCACATCACTAATTAGGCAATCCACGTCACTAACTTATGTGACACGGAAAAATCAACTGTCCCCATATTTCTTCGTCTTTAAAAAGAAAACGTCACAACTTTCTTACACCGTCGTTAAACCCTAACTGTTACCAAATTGTTTCGTCTCGAATTGTCTCTTATATCGTCTTCGTCGATAACGTCTTCTCCGCAAAAGTTTCTACGCAATCTTCTTCGTCGCAATCGTATCTACGAAATCACCTTCTCCGGTATGTTATGACTGAATTTGATTTACGATGTGGATGAGTTATAGATTATGTTGTAATTGAGTTATTTTATAATGTGGCTGAGTTTGATGTACGTTGATCTATTGCGGCTGAGTTATTGATTATGATGTGGCTGAGTAATGTATTATGTTGTGGCTGAGTGGCTCAGTCATACTATGTTGTGGCTGAGTTATCTATTATGTTGTGGCTGAGTTTTGTTTCTATAACGACTAAGTTATTTATTATGTTGTGGCTGAGTTTTGTTTCTATTACAGCTGAGTTATTTATTATGTTGTGGCTGAGTTTTGTTTCTATTACGGCTGAGTTATTTATTATGTTGTAGCTGAGTTTGTTGAATTATGGCTGAGTTATACTATGTTGTTACTTGTCTCAGCCGCGTCTCTCATTTGGCATCGAAGAAAAGGGTCTGTGGAGTATCCTCCCGTTGCCTCAGAATATGAATCCACATGAGAAACTTGCATCGTCTCTTGCACTAACTCCTGAATTGTTCATTATATAAATTGTTCATTAAGGATTATCTTGTTTGGTCATAAGACTTGTTTGATTAACATCCGTATACTTGTCTGCCTCATATCACCTTGGCCGCATGAACACTATATCTTATGAAACCTAAAGAATAAAGTTATATGATGCTTTGAATTTATTTTTATTGCTTAGTGTGCTTAAGAACTTAATAAGATGAATGATTTTAAATATGAAGTCTCTAAGATATGATTCTTATTTTGAAGAATGAAAGATGATATGAATATACTCGTGGTGGACAGTGGATCAAGCCACACGATTCTTAGAGACAAAAGATACTTCATTAACCTTAAACTAAAAACGCCAATATAAGTACTATTGCAGGTATAGCCAGCCTAATAGAAGCCATGGCCAGGCGAGTATCTTGTTGCCTAAGGGCACGCATCTAGAGATATCTGATGAATTATATTCACCCAGCTCTAATAGAAGCCTATTGAGTTTCAAAGATATAAGAATGAATGGTTTCCATATTGAAACAATGGGTGAAGGAAACAAAGAGTTCCTTCAAATACTTGAAATCGCCCAAGGCCATAAGAAAGTGGTCGAGACTATACCTTCGTTGTCTACTGGTCTTTACTATGCCAAGATCAGTATGATAGAGTCTAATGCCGCAGTGAACAAAGTGTTTACTGAGAATTTCACTCTTTGGCATGACCAGCTTGGCCATCCCGGTTCAAACATGATGCGAAAATTGATATTGAATTCAAATGGGCACACATTGAAAGAAGAAGAGTTATCCCAAAGAATCTCACGTGTGTAGCATGTACACAAGGAAAACTCATTGTCAGGCCATCACTAGTTAAAGTGACTAAGGAAGCAATAAACGTTTTGGAAAGAATACAAGGTGACATATGTGGACCAATAGACCCACCATGTGGGACTATGGAATGTGAATTAGAAGTCCAAAAGATTATTCATTTACAAAAGCTAGCAAATCAATTGCCAGACTCATTTGCTGACCCGAAACGAGTGACTATGTCATATATACCAGCTTGAAATGCACCTATACGAACTGATGTCCAAGAAGTACAAAATCAAGTTGCTACAGAGTCTAGACAACGTTTGAAATGTCGTAGACCAATAGGTTCCAAAGATAAGAACCCTCAGAAATCAAAAAGGTGATGAGAATGATAAAGAATCCAAGGTTATGGAAACCCTAGACATGGCCGGCCAACCTAAGGTACAAAACGATGGGGCTTGGGACGCCAAGCTTCAAGGTACTGAAGGTCCTGATAATGATGAGATCTCAATTAATTATGTCATGACTTGAATACAATAGAACCGAAAGAATGTCGACATTGATGATTTATTTTCATACAAGGTAGCAATTGAACTTATGGATATAAACTAGGATCATGAACCCACGTCTATTTTAGAGTGCACTCGTAGATCAGATTGGATTAAATGGAAAGAAACTATAAACGTGGAGTTAAAAATTTTAAGGAAGAGATACGTTTTTGCTCCTATAATTCAGACACCATATGATGTTAAACCAGTGGGATATAAATGGGTCATTGTGAGGAAAAGAAATGAACATGGTGAAATCGTGAGATATAAAGTACGGGTTGTTGCACAAGAATTCTCACAGAGATCAGAAATATATTATGAGGAGACATACTCCCTTGTAGTGGATGCTACTACTTTTAGGTTCCTAATAAGTCTGGCCATAAGAGAGCAATTAGAAATGCGGTTAATAGATGTAGTAACTGCATATTTATATGGTCCACTGGATAATGAGATATACATGAAAGTACCAGAGTAGGCATGGGCATCCGGGTCCTCGGGTTGGGTCCTGTAGGGTCCGGGTCCTTTGGGTCTTGGAAGTTTAGACCCATATAGGTACTTGTAATTTTTCGGGTCGGTTCCGGGTTGGTCTTATCGGATCCGGGTCGGTTTGGGTCTCCTTTTAATATACCCATTAATACCCGATTTTTTTTGGTTCCTTATTGTGTCGGGTCGATTCTATTCATTTCGAGTCCATTTTCGGGTAAATATTACATTTTCGGTTTGGTTCCTGATATTTCGGGTCGGATCTACATATAATCGGGTAAAAGATTTGGGCTTCGGGTCCATTTGTACCCATGAACCTGCAGTTTAACCGAACATCAAACCTCCAAATCTGACTGCAATTTTGAAAAACTGCAATTATCATAAGTACAAAATGCAATACACATTACACACAATGAGGTGAAATAACCATAACTTGCAGTGGTGCAATAACCATAACCATAACTAATAAACATAAAATTAAGACCTGATCAAGTTACCATTCAAATTTCAAAAACACAAAAAAAAAAACAGAGAAGTAGAGATCATTACTCTCAAGTCTAAAAGTATCAAAAGATAAACAACAAGATAAAAGTCGGCTTGCAACTGAAGTTCCATCATACTAGCTGCATCTCCAAGTGGACCATGTCGAACATCCAAAACTCCAAGTCTCCAATACCAACACAAAACACTTACTACATCTGCTTGAAAATAGGTTCAAATTCTGAAAAATAAAAATAGAAGAAGTCAGGTTAGAAATCCAAAGTAAAATGCATATAGTAAATAAAGATATTAGACTTGATTACCTCTCATAAGCTCATCTTGATTCTCTAACTCAGAAAGCATTTGTTCTTTCCTTATGACTCCTTTTCCTTTGAATTTAATCTCACATTTGAGCCACTGCTCGGTGCACATCAAGACTTCTATCATAAAATGTGTCAAGCAGCTTCTGCTTGGGTCTAAGACACGCCCACTAATGCTCAAGGCTGATTCAGAAGCTACTGAAAACACTTGCATTGCAAGTACATCTTTGGCTACTCTTGAGAGAACTGGAAACTTAGGACTGTTAACCTTCCACCATGAGAGTACATCATACTCAGTACCATCAATTAATTTTGGGTACTCATCTGTTTTTTCTTGAACCCCTGCTTCATTCACAAGCTCAAGGTAGAGGTCACTCATGCTTTCATAAGCTAGTCCATTCTCAAGCACAGTTTGCTGAGATACTTCTTCTCCATATTGTTCTTGGGACTAAAATAAAGTTCCTTGAGACTGAGACTGACCATGATTAGACTGTCCACCAGAAGACTCATTACTGATCACGTAGCTGTTATACTCAACAAACAAGCTTCTCAAGAGGTCTTTTGTCTCATTAGTCAAAAGAGTAACCTCAACACTGCCTACTCCATACAATTTCCCGAAACACTTAACTATAAACTTCATCTTCTTGCTTGGATCAAGAACACCAGCGACAATGATCATCTTATTCATCTCAGCCTTCTCAAAAAATGGAGACCAATATTTTCCTAATTTTCTATTCATTGCAGCAGCCTTAGACCTTAATATTTCATCAGGGCCTGGAGTTGTGCTTAATAAACTAATGTTCCTTGTGACAGTGTGGATTGCATGATATAGTTTATGAGCACATGCTGTATTTGAAGCTGACAAAACTAATGTCGCTTTGTAAAAGATGATTAAGAACTGTACTAACCTATTAACAGCTTCCCAATCTTCTTTTGCTGGGGGTCCAATGCGCTTTCTCCCTTCCACTATTTCATTGGAGTAGTCGTTGTATGGTCCGTCTTCAGCTTCTATCTTGTCAAAAGCCACTTTAAACTTCATCGCCTGTTCTAGCATCAGATATGTGGATTTCCATCTTGTTCTCACATCTAAAGGTAAACTTCATCTTTGAATCTTTCCAGACTCAACACAGCGTCCAAATGATATTTGTCTCTATGTAGAAGACCTCACAAAGTAAATGCCGTTTCTAATGGC